AAGTAATTATTTGGGGGAGCACAAAATCTAAATGACTTCATGCAAATGTTGAAGGATAGATATCTCTGCCAAGGTAGCCATTACAACATGCAAATAGGGGCTCCACCTCACTGATCAGCCTGCCTTTTTCTATCTCACTCTCTGACCACCTTTTCAGAGGACTCTGTGGGTTTCTCTCCAGGACCATTGAGAATTAATGCCTTTTGGGGTCCAGTTTCCTGCTATTCGGGCTACTTCTTCCTCAGAGAAATAAATTATCCTGGGTGATATGTGCAAGTCTCACCCAGCCTCATCTAGCTTGTTTTCCAAGTAACGGGTTTATTTGGGGCTGAAGGGAGGCAAGAACATGTGGAAGGGAGATACAGGAGACTGGAGGAGGTTCGGTATAGCAGCGGCATTCACTACATGTTAGGGTAGACTATTTCCCCCCAAGTGGCAGCTTCCTGTACTTCCTGCACACGCTTAGTATAACTTGAAAACCTCAATGGCAATGGAATACCCATCTCTGACAAAAGTAAAAAAAAAGGGGGGGGGCTTATAAATGAAGGACCATTTTGTAGTGAAAAAAAATATATATCTGTATATACAAAATAGCTAGCATAGATATACAGCTACTTTCTCTTAGTTCAATGAGAAGTTTTGAACTAATAGTATTTAAACAAGATATCATGTTTGCATCTTATACTATGAATAGCTACTATGAAGACAAGAATATGCAATGTATTGATTATTATAACTGTCCTACTAACCTGTTTTGAAAATGTCTCATTTCTACTTCTTTCTCAATAAAATTAATAGAAAAAAGAAAACCTCATCAAAATTTCTCATTTTAAGTATTACCATTTATATTTATATATCTTTCTAACATGTACTTTAAGAATGGTTAATTTTATATAACTATATAGGAACGATAGGAAGCACCAATGTAGTGAAAATGGCTATGCTTCCATCACTGTTACACAGATTTAATGCAGTTCTGGTCCAAATTGCAATAGCATGCCTCACAGAATTAGAGAAAACAGTCCTGAAGTTCATTTGGAACCAGAAGAGATTTAGAACAGCAAAGGCAATGCTGGGCAACAAAGGCAAGACAGTGGGCATCACAGTCCCCAACTTGAAGTTATACTATAAAGCTACTTTGATAAAACAGCATGGTAGTGGCAAAAAAGACCCAAAGATCAGTGGGACAGATCATAAGATCCAGAAACAACTACAGACATACTGAGCCACCTTATCTTTGACAAAGGTGCTGAACACGTTCCCTGGAAGAAAGACAGCCTCATTAAAAAATGATGCTGGAAAATCTGGCTCTGCACATGCCAAAGATTAAGATTGGACCCATATATTTCACCCTGCACTAAACTAAATTCAAAATGCATCGAAGATGTCAATATTAAAACAGAAACATTAAATCTGCTGGAAGATAGACCTGAAGATGTTGGTGTAGGCAAAGACTTTATGAATAGAACCCCAGTTATACGGGAACTATCACAAAGTATCAAAAACTGGGATCTCATCTTATTAAAAGCTTTAGCACAACGAAAGAAATCACTGACAGAGTGAAGAGACAATGCACACTGTGGGAAAAAAGGTTGGTCAGCACTTCCTCAGCAAAGAATTACTTTTGAGAACATATAAAGACCTCAAAATAATCAGACTTCCCAAATTCAAAGACCCAATCCAAAAATGGCCATCTGAGATAAATATATACTTCTCTGATGAAGAAATACAAATGGCAAATAAATATATGAAAAAATATTCAACATCACTGGTCATTTGAGAGATGCAAATTAAAAGAACACTGAGATTCTATCTCACCACAGAAAGAATGACTGGTATTAAGAAATCAACCAATAACAAATGCTAGAGGGGATTTGGCGGAAAAGGAACTCTTCTCCACTGTTGGTGGGAGAGTTGACTAGTGCAATGACTATAGAACTCAATGTGGAGATCCCTAAAAAACTAGGATTGGAAGTCCTATTTAATCCAGCTATTCCTCTTTTGGGTATTTTCCCAGAAGAATTAAAACCATCACCGTGCAGAAGCAGCTGCCAGGCTCCTTCTCGAGTCTCCATCTTCAGTTCGCCTGCTTCCACTCCAGCCTCCACCACGTCCATGGGGTGACCCAGAAGTCCTACACGGTGCCCACCTCTGGCTCTCGGCGGCCTCTCCTACACCAGCAGGCTTGCTTCCCACATCAGCTTCTCCAGCTTCTCCTGAATGGGCAGCAGCAGTAGCAGCTTCTGGGCCAGCCTGGGGCTGGGTGGCTATGGGGGCACTGATGGTGTGGGGAGCATCATGGCCGTCCAGGTGAACCAGAGCCTGCTGAACCCCCTGAACCTGGAGGTGGACCCCAACATCCAGGTCATGTGTATTAGGAGAAGGAGCAGATCAAGAACCTCAGCAACAAGTTCTCCTCCTTCATTGACAAGGTTTGGTTTCTGGAGCAGCAGAATAAGGTGCTGGAGACCAGGTGGAGCCTCCTGCAGCAGCAGAAGATGTCCCGGAGTAACATGGACATCATGCTCGAAAGCTACATCAACAGCCTGACGCACTGGATCAGGTGAAACTGAAGCTGGAGGCGGAGGCTGCAACATGCAGGGGCTGGTGGAGGACTTCAAGAATAAATATGAAGATGAGATCAACAAGCGTACAGACATGGGGAATGAATTTGTCCTCATCAAGGAGGATGTGGCTGAAGCTGACATGAACAAGGTGGAAGTTGAGTCACCCCTGGAAGGGCTGACTGACGAGATCAACTTCCTCAGGCAGCTGTATGAAGAGGAGATATGTGAACTGCTGTCTCAGATCATGGACACATCCGTGGTGCTGTCCATGGGTAACAGCTGCTCCCTGGACCTGGTCAGCATCATTGCTGAGGTCAAGGCCCAGTAGGAGGAGATCACCAGTCGCAGTCAGGCCCAGGCTAAGAGCATGTACCAGATCAAGTATGAAGAGTTGCAGACTCTGGCTGGGAAGCACGGGGATGACCTCTGCCACACGAAGTCTGAGATCTCTGAGATTACCCGCAGCATCAGCCACCTGCAGGCAGAGACTGAGGCCCTCAAAGGCCAGAGAGCATCTCTGGAGGCTGCCATCACTGATGTTAAGCAGCGTGGGGAGATGGCCATTAAGGATGCCAACGCCAAGCTGACTCAGCTGGAGGCTGCCCTGCAGAAAGCCAAGCAGGACATGGCCGGCCAGCTGTGCAAGCACCAGGAGCTCATGAATGTCAAGCTTGCCCTGGACATTGAGATTGCCCTCTGTGAGCTGCTGGAGTGCAAGGAGAACAGGCTGGAGGCTGGATGCAGAACTTGAGCATCCACACGAAGACCACCAGTGGCTATGCAGGAATGGTGAGCTCACCCTATGGGGGCCTCACAAGCCCTAGCTTTGGGAGCCTCCAAAGCCCTGGCTTCACCTACACCAAGTCTGCTGTGGTTGTGAAGAAGATCGAGACCCGCGATGGGAAGCTGGTGTCTGAGACCTCGGATGTCCTGCCCAAGTGAATGGGCCATGGCAGCCTCTCCCAGCCCGCACCTCTCCTGTGGCTGCCCCGGAGCCTGTAGGGAGACAGCTGTACAGGGGAGCATTGGGCGCAAGAGACCTACCTGAGGCTCAGCTTAGCCCTCAATCCACCCTTGGGGATTCTTCCCCGTGCCCTCCACCAAAAACCAATTAAATTGTCTTTTCCAAAATAAAGTCTGGTTTTGCCACCTGAAAAAAAAAAAAAGAATTTAAACCATCATACCACAGCTATGTATGTGGACCCCTGTTTAAAGCAGCACAATCTGTAATAGCTAAATGTTGGAAACAACCCAAATGCCCATCACCTGAGGAGTGGATAAAAAAGATGTGGTCTTTGTATACAATGGCGTGCTACTCAGCTATAAAGAAGGAGAAACTGGGGACTTTTATAAATGGATGCAACCTTTATAGATAAATAAGCAAAATAAATGAGACACACATGTATAAACATCATATTGACTCCCTAGTGTGAGAAGCTGAAAGAGTAAGTAAGATCCAAAATGTACAATAGATATTGTGAAGTGAGAACAAACTGTTCAAAAGGTAACAGAAACTGTGATAGGGAAAAGGAGAGGAGAAGGAAACACACACACAGGATAGTGATACTATTACCTTCTCTTAGTTCATTGAAAAGAAAGGTTTCTGCTAACATTTTTTGGCAATTAAATGCCAATATTTTGTATCCTGAGTAACTAATTTAAAGATAACAATATGCAGTGTATTAATCATTGTTACCCTCCTATTATCTTGTTTTGACATTTTTTTCTTTAAAATAAAAAAGTTAATTTTAAAATGAAAAGAAACAAAATAAAAGAAAACCACCCCCAAGAGAATTCAAGGTTAATTCAAAGGGAAAAAGGTAAGTGCTATGGAGAACTGTCTCCCTCGGAGCTACTTTATATCTGACTGTATAGTGTTCTGTGTTTACATTCCAAGTAGCAGTTTACTCTTGGGGATAAATCAGTGATGTCGCTTTCTTTTCCTCTGGGAAAATGGCATGACTAGATTTGGAAACCAGACAGCAATTGCCAACATGTGGCAGAATAAGCTAAAAGAGGGTGCATTTCCATTTTGGAAGATTTGTCAAAGGATAGGTATCTCAGGCAAACGAAAGAACGCATTTGGGCCTGAAGAGGAAAAGAGGCTTGAGGAGGGCTGCGCTTTGTGGTGGACGGACTTCCCCCAGCAAGGAAGGAGCCGCTCAGACTGGTGAGGGAGCAACCAGGGGACCGGCCCAGGACTCGCCGTCTTCAGCAGTAAAATCTGAGCCCAGCCCGGTGGAAGATGCAACAGTCAACAGTTGAAATCATCCTGTATTCGCCAACTGGAAGGAATTTTTAAAAACTAAATTATGACTAACTATAAGCTTTAAAAGGAAAGCAACAAATCCTGTCTTGCTTCTAGAGGTGAAACATGCCTAAGAATTCTGTTGTCTCTGAGGGCAAATCGCAAGGAGATAAAGACATCTGAGGTGACATGGGTGGCATTTCCACCCTGAGACTGCAATGGAAGGCCAGGAAAAAGAATTTTCTCTACAGAAACATAGATGTTAAAATATGAACCTTTTGCCTTCATTTTAATCCAAAAGTAAATAGATGCATTAAATGTCAAAGATGTCCATTTTAACTTGAATTCCTCTGTACATAATCTAATGTATAGTGAGCACTAAAAGTCTCTCATAGTACATGACTATATTCTCCATACAGCGTGTAGGTCTTAAGTAAATGCCACTGTGAATCTATTATAAGATGCTTTCTCACATCTTAACGTCTCTGAAATGTAGATAAAATCTAAAATAAATGACATGCCGTCGCTTAATTAGTAGCATTTTTTTCCTTAGCACCACTTAAAATAATGGCACAACTTACTATGTTGTCTTAGATTTGATGATGTATTTTGTCAGATGATAACCCATAAGCTGAACTATTCAACACAGTTTAAAATCAAAACTCTACAGTCCTGAGTACCTCAGGGATGTTTTTGTATTCATCAGGTACTTTAAAAGTAATCTGAAAAATGCTGAACACTTCCAAAAAGGTGAGTCTTGGGAGCAGAGCATTGTGAGGAGGAAGTTGGGAGAAAGACAATCATTTGACTATTAGTGGTGGCCTCAGCTAGGTTTCTCTTGCTTTCCTGTCTACACTCCTAAATCTATCTGGGTCTAGTCGGTGTCAGCCCCTTCCCACTGGGACGCTGATCACTGAAACTCTGCAACCCGAGGAAAAGATTCATTTGAATAATGGTCAGAACAGTAAGTACATTTTTCTAAAATTTGTGCAAGATTTATTGTGGAAGACCTCTTGTATTTTAAAGATGCCCATATAAATTCACTATAGAATTTTTTTAAGATTTATTTATTTATTTGGTAAAGGGTCTTGCTATGCAGCTCAGACTCGTAGTGATCCTCCTATCTCATCCTCCTCAGTGCTGAGATTATAGGCATGTGCCACTATGCCTGGTGTCAGTGGCCAGGACAGCAAGGGTCCAGTGAGGCATGTGGCACTGGGGATTGAACCCAAGTCCTTGCACTTGCCAGGCAGGTGCTTAGACCACTGAGCTATCTCCCTGGCCCACTATAGATTTTTAAAAAATGTTTCATTGGAGCATTTCTGTCATCCTATTTATGTCACCCCCAAACATTGCCATTTTTTTACTAAGAGTTTTGGAGGTTTTAAGAGATCAAAGTAGTAATTAGTCGGTGGCATGGAAGATTAAAACCAAAAGTATACTGATTTAAAAAGATGAACGAGGGCTGGGGAGATGGCTCAGTGGAATAAGCGCTTCCCTGGCAAGTGCAAGGGCCTGAGTTCAATCCCCAGTTCTGCAAAAGAAAAATAAAAATAAAAAGATGAATGTGTAAGCACATGCACAGATGGGTAAATAAGGGAGAATATAATAAGACTGGCTATTTCTGCATGGAAACCATGGAGGTTGATCTCATCTGTATTTCTAAACTTCGCCACAGTCAACAAAAATTGAATTTGCAATGATTAGTAAAGCAATATGAGCTTTATTCTACAATGAAGCAGTGAGCACATATTATACAATACAGCTGCTGTTGTTAAGAATGCCTCTTCAAGAATGCACATGCCTAATAAGGTCTTCCTCCAGAGTCAGAAGCACCATGCAATACAGCCACAAAGCCCACGTTAGAGCTAGCCACCCGGGAGGCGGCGGCAGCCCCTAGCCTGATAGGAAGTGAGCCATGCTGCCCTCTCTCCTCTCAGGCATGGAGGCTGCCCACATCTCTGTGCTGCTGGTGCATGTATACACGTGCAGTCTGCCTCATAGCCAGGCCACGGATCGGAGCAAGTCCGTGAAAGCATCCATTTCTTGATCAGGATTGTGTTCAAAGCGCTGGAGCTGAAGAGCCTTTTCTTTGATGTTACTTCAATCCCATAACACATAATAATCCCTGCAGTAGGATGCAGGCCTCTACTGTAACACAGTTGTGCCAAATTAAAAATACTGATAAGTAGTTGGTGAAAATAAATGACAGGTAAAATAGCCTCCTTTGCTTAGCTGTTAACAGTTTTAAGATGCTGTTCCTCCCTTACCACATATTGGGGAAAAAAGAGCCTTCTGCTTTTCATATTATTCATACATAGAAGTATATTTTTCAGGTTCTTTGGATTCTCAAATCATGCTATTGTCATACATTCAAATATTCATCTTTTTATCTTAGTTTCATAATCTCATCAACTTTACAGGAAAAATAGAAACCCTTAGGGTCTGAACTGGTATTTGAAGAACTAAGCTCATCATTAGTTCATGCCTAGTAATATTACATTATTATTTAGGAAAAAATAGAAGGCTATGTTCTATAAATTTTAAGATATTCCTTCTGTACTGGCCCCACTTGTGGGGTACACTGAGACTAGGCATGGTGGCACGTGCCTGTAATCCCAGTGCTTGGGAGGCTTAAAACAGGAGGATCACTATGAGTCCAATCTGTGTGAGACCCTTTAGACCCTGTAGACCCTGTACTAAATACATAAAAAGATACTCCTTCGGTCATTGAATAACAACTAAATTATCCTATTGACCAGCAGTAGGGTTCATGTCTATCTGTAGATAGTACCTAGTTCACCTATTTTTGCCAACTAAGAACACAAGAAAACAGGCCATAGCCAGCATTTCACCAGCTTCAGGAGCCTATCTGGCACCAAGCTCCACCTTGCACACTGCTCAGAAAGCATTTCTTCCAGCGATTTCAGGAGAACAAGAGGGACTCGGAGGATCTGTGAGATGGGACACCAGGACCTCTCTAAGCCTGCCTGCTAAGTAAGAACTTCCTCCATCCAGGGTGGTTTTAAGTGTGCAACAGGATGATGACGTTAGGGGGAAAGTCTGTAATGGCCATGTAGGTGTTAGCATTATTGAATATATGTGATGTAGGCACACTAGCCCAGACCTCATTAAAACCAGTGTTTCAGAGGCAGCTTTGGGGACTTGCGGGTTAGCTCAGTTGTTTAAGCACCTGCTTGGACAAACCCAGTCAGGCACAGGGGAGTGCGATTCAATCCCCAGCTCCACATGCCTTACCAGACCCACCCTTAAGGCAGCCTGAGCCAGCCCCCCACAGAATCCTTCAGAGGCAGCTTTGCTGCTGGGGTAGCCATCACTTGAAGAGGGGCATTGTGGGAAAGGGTTGACCTTTGTTGACCTCGTCACTAGAAAAGCACCATGTGAGTGTTCTGGTTTGTAGTGCTCTTCTCATTCATTCAAGGTAAAATGGATGGTCTGTCTCATGCAAAGGCCCTGCCCTCAGAACAAAGTATTGGGCTTTGCCGACATCATTCATTCCGGTAGCAGCAAGTGGAGTTTTCAGAGGAAGCAAAAGGCTAGCATTCTGTTCAGCGTCTAGGGAAGCTTTTCCAACTGGGACTTCAGATGAATAGTGAAATATGATGTAAATAACAGGAGTTGACAAAGTGACACCGCACCAAAGCTGGCCAGATGAAACCCAGATAGACCATTTCTGTCTCCATACACACAAGACTCCTGTTATTACCACAGTCCACACCCAGGTAAGAGAGTCCACGCACACTGGAGGAAGGGTGCCTCCGTGGTCCTGGGGTAGGAAGACGCCTGGTGTCTGAAGACCTCTGTTCTACTTTTTGCGAGCAGGCATTCTGCTACCATCATCTTATTTTGTGGCAACAGAGACAAACAAAGGGAATTTTCCTGAGCAGGGTGAGTGACCAAGAAATGAGGCAAATTATTGGAAAACAGTCGGGCATTCATTGAAGAGCAACAAATATGATTTATAAGTCTGAAGCAACTGCCTTCAGAGGGAAGATAAAGAAACAAGTCTCCCAGCATGACCACCAGCTCTAAATAATGGGGCTGGTGCACTGGCCACAAGTACGTGAAGGGTATAAATAGCAGGAATGGAGAGATCTTATTTTGTGTGGTCCAAGGCCATAGCAAGAGGAGTGATGGAAATGCAAGTCAAAACAAAGATGATTTAGGCGGCCACGCAGGTCGCATTCTCTGATGGAGAGATCTATTACAGGCTGTGCGGCCCTGTCGCCCAGGAAGGCTGCAAGCCTCTTTGTTTGTGCCACTTGCAAATGGAAAAAGCACAAAAAGGAGATGGACGTGTCAGAGAGGAAAACACCACTGCATGCCCGCAGAGGTCCAGTGGCATGACTTGATACTGCTTTCCTACCTCCAGTTACTGCAATGTGGCTGCGTGCAAGGGGACCAGAGTTGGGATAATGATTTTTCCATTGTTCAGGCTTTTTTTACTGTTACTATGTGGACAGTGAAGAAGTGATAATAGGTAACAGAAAGCAGGGTGTACGTTGTAAAGAGAAGCCTAAGTGTACTGATGCTCTAGTGTGAAGGCGGACGTGACCAGGTAAGTTTCCCATTGTGATGTCAGCGTAAATAAATAGGTCTCCTCACAGAAAACCCCAATGACATACTAGTATCGCTGGAGACTTGAGATAAAGACAAGGAACTTGCCAGCATCCCAGTGGGCAAAAAACCAAGTCGTTCTCTCCCATAGAAAGACAGATGTCCAAACACTTAAATTCTATAAAAAAGAAAGAAAGAAGAAAGAAAGAAAGAAAGAAAGAAAGAAAGAAAGAAAGAAAGAAAGAAGGAAGGAAGGAAGGAAGGAAGAAAGGAAGGAGAAAGAAAGAAAGAAAGAAAGAAAGAAAGAAAGAAAGAAAGAAAGAAAGAAAGAAAAAATTATTTGACCTTTAAAAACTAACCAAGAAATAATTGCTGCGTTGAATCCTTAGGACCTGCATACTGAATGTGTTTCTGTTGTAATTCTATTCACAGCTTCCGCGGTAATTCACAACTGACACATTGTGAAACCCAAGGTTTCATGCCCAGAAGGGGACATGCAGGCATGAAGCACCGACCTGGGGTCACAACTGTAGCTAAAGGAACAGGGCACAGATTGGTCAGATGGGAACTGGGACCAGCAGGGAAGGGCTAGTGCCACTGTGATCACTAGAAGAAGCGCAGCTGTGCCCACCATACCTTGCCCCAGCCAGAGGACACAGAAGCAGGGGACAAAAATGTTAAGAGCGTGGTGGGGGAGGGAGTGGGCGTGGCGAGGCAGTGAGAAGGAAAGCGAAGGCGTCTACAGTGGGGAAACCCACAGATGCAAGCTTGCAGGTGGACGACATCTCGGTTCCTAATATAAATATTGTATGTGGTGGGCAGTAAGTTAAACTTGGTGTTCTGGAAGACTGATGTTTGCTACAAACACATTCAGGGGTTGACCTGCGCCCCACAGATGTAGGTCAAGCCTCATCCTGCTGCTCTCCGCAGCTGTGGCCAATGGGAAGTAGAGCCGCCCAGCATGCTGGTTTAAACTGCTGCTAATGGAAATCAACCTAACCCCATTTCCTGCCTTCTCTGACCGCGCTTGTCTACTCAGACCCATTTAGACACAGGCTGAGCTGCCAGCCTGCTGGAACCGCTGGAAGACTGATGGGGAGTATCTGTTGCTCGCACATATATCCCCATCTCTTTTAGGTGAAAGATGTGTTTCTAAGCCTTTAAAAGGAGGCTTAAAATACAAGACACCAGCACTAACCTATATGTCATTCTCAATTCATAGAGTTAGAAGGACTTTACCTATCCATTCCATCTCAGCAGAATGGTACAGATGCTTAGAAAGATGGGAATTCATGCAGAGGCCTGTTTTTAGAAAGAACACAACAAAGGTTAAGAGACAGATCCAGGGTTGCTCAGGGAGGCGATGCCAAGGCAGAGAATTAAGGGAGTAGTCTGAGAATCAATGGGGAAATTATGAAATTCAGTCTGAAGAAAGAACATCGCCACTGAATCATACTGATTTAATGACCCACTGGAAACCCTGGTAAACAGTACTCGTATCTTCATTCTTGTTGCTCAGACTAGTTTTTAGAGTTCAGATATTTTCCTGGGCTGATTTTTTTTTAAATGCCCAATACCTTCTCAGTGAATAAGACACTAAACCCAGCAGCGTGTGGTCACGTGATCTTGGTTCTTTACTCAGTAGAACCAGTAGGCCAGGGTCTATTGAGTTGATTTTTTTAAAAAAATTTATTTATTTATTTAGTTTTTATTTTCCCCC